TTTGGGGTTTAGAGGTTTCGGGTTTAGGGTTCAGGGTTTTGGGGTTTTGGGGTTTTGGGGTTTCGGGTTTAGGGTTTCGAGTTCAGGGGTTTAGGGGTTTAGGGTTTAGGGTTCAGAAGCTCCGGGTCGAGCTGTTTTACAATCAAGTTACACTCGCATCCTCAGAATCCAATAACATTGGAAAGGCAAAGTTTTTAATTCATAAAAAATGACGTCCCATCACTTTTCGATTCATTCATTTTACATGTTAACTTTATACCAATGAGCCCTAAACTCAGGCACTCTAAACCCAGAAAGCAGCTGTGCCAGCTTAGACTCTTCAGTGTTTAAGGTTTGTTGCAAGCTACTTGGTGGACTCAAAGAGCAAAATCCCTCAACTTTTGCGGTTAGACTCTTTAGTGTTTAAGGGTCGTGCAAGCTACTTGATGGACTCAAAGAAGAAAAGCTCTCAACTTCTGCGGTTAGACTCTTATTCGATGACTTTTTGACGTTATTCGACGAATTTTCGCAAATTCGCTGAATAAGGCCGAAAACTCATCGAATAAGGTCAAAATTGACCATATTCGGCGATTTTTTGATGTTATTCGGCGAATTTTTGCAAATTTGCTGAATAAGGCTGAAAATTCGTCGAATAACGTCAAAATTGACCTTATACGAAGAGTTTTTGACCTTATTCGGCGAAGTTTTGACCTTATTCGGCAAATTTCTCAAGGGTTTAATTAAATTAGTATATTAGGGTTTAGGGGTTTAGGGGTTTAGGGTTTGGGGTTTAGGGGTTTAGGGTTGCGGGTTTAGGGTTTCAGGGGTTTAGGGGTTTCGGGTTTGGGGTTTAGGGTTTAGGGGTTCAAGGAGCGGTCCGGCAAAAGAGGGTGAACGATTCTGACTCGGCTGAAATGGGTTCTTGCTCTTTCGAGGAGCAATAGAGGCTTCAGGCTTCAGGATTCGAGGGATCTCTAAAAACCCTAAACCCTAAACCCAAAACCCTCAACCCTAAACCCAAAACTCTAAACCCTAAACCCTAAAACCCTAAACCCAAAACCTACATAGGGGCTGAGATTTCAGGGTCCAAGGACCCGAAGCCCCCAAACCCTAAACTCTAAACCCTAAACCCTAAAACCAAACACTCGGGGGGGCTTTCTTCTTGGGGGGAGCTCTCGGCGCATGGCAGGCCGTGGCATGGGCCGTGTCAGGCCCAGGAGTTGGCGAGGTGATCCTCTCGCATAAGGTGGGGGGGGGGGGCCTTTTGGGGTTTAGGGGTTTAGGGTTTAGGGTTTAGGGTTTAGGGGTTTAGGGTTTAGGGTTTAGTGGTTCAGGGGTTTAGGGTTTAG